TTCCCAGGTCTCTGGCTCTTTGAGCGTCATTCGCTGCCCGGCTCTCTCCCTGTCCCACACGCCCTTTATTCCACTGCGGGTAAACGTCTTCAGGTCAGCAGGATACCTGGGACCAACACAACCACAACTTTAAATGGAAGCAGGACAAGCCCAGTGACTAGCCACTGGGACAACAGAGAAAACACACCAGGCCTGAGACTGAAACTAAACAGACCCCTTTCTCCTTATTCTCCCCTCCTCTGACCACTCTGCTGTGTTCATATTGTCTAAACAGTAAATTATTCAAGTGCTGAAGGATAGTAAATGCTCAGTTTCTTCTAAATAAGGAGCTTTAAGTGTGTGAAAATAGGGTAATAAAGAGTCCATAGTTCTTGTACAGGTTAACTGGACCATTCTGCACATTTTCATGAGGAGGTGGGGGTTAAAGTAAACTGTTACAGAATGTCCACCACTGGAGGAATATGTGAAGTTCTTGAGTAAACTGAAGTAGAGAGACAGATAGCGGTTCAATGTTATGTGTATGGCTTGCTCTGTGTGATAAATACTTAACACCAACTAAATTCAACCAGCTGATTCAGTGATAGTAAAACCGTGTGTATATCACATTTGTTTATAGCGTTAGCTTTTTGTGAGTAGCATAAAGGGAACTACACCTTCACCTCTGTGTTGTAAAATCTACCTTTTACTTTGCTTGTAGTATGCAGTGTGTGAATGTCTGTGTGTGTATGTGTGGCTTACTTTTTTCCCAGAATGGCCATAACATGTTCAGCAGGTTCTTTTATGTGAAGCCTCTTGATCATCTTCTTTATATTGAACTCACTCTGCTTTTTATCCACCACTTCCCTGCCCTCTACCTGCAACTGTGCACACATAAACCAGTGTTACCCATGTGAAGAGGTTTCTTCTAAAACTCCAAGAAGGTGGGTCTTGATGTTCAGAATAAATGTTGCCAAAACCTTTTTCGTGTAACAATCTGCAGTGACTTAAGTACCTAAGCCTAGCTAAATTACTTGAGAAAACACTTACAAATAACTCAAAATGTAAAAACATTTATTAAAAAAAACTATTTAGTGACACCACAACAAAAAATAGGTACTGTATATGGACTTACAAACTTCTTCAGAATAGATGCATCTGTTCTGAGCAAGTTCGCCCACAGGGTCAGCTGCTGATCAGTTGGTTTCTGGAAATCAATGACAGCGTACATAGAACAAACCATGGTGATCAAGAGAGGATATCTGAGCCACTTATGCACAGAATGTTAATTTAGAGCGATGACTCAATTGTACAAAATAGAAACCGCACAAACCTTTGATATATTTTTAGTGGAGGTGTTAAACAGTGTGGGTGTCAAACTTTACATGTAAAACTACAGTGAAAACAATAAACGAAAGAGACACTAATACTGACACTGTTAACTATTAATAACAGGGATGTAATATTGATATTGTTTGGTTTAACCTTAGTTTTAACATTGAACTTCATGAAAAACGTTAAACTAAATTCTTCACTACCTTGGCATTGCGCCTGTTGCGGTTGTGTTTGCAGCGCTGTTTGCGTGTGTTGTATTTGGCCAGTTGATACTCGCTGAACTGCTTGAACTTGTCAGCCATTGCCTTCTTCAGGCACATTGGCAGGGAGTGGCTGAAACACTGGAAACAGACAAACATTGTTTAGGCTGGTCAGAACTAACAGCACGGATTCATCCAGAGTCAACCACACAGCGGGCGCTCGCTATGACTTACTGTACTATAGATTCGGACTACTTCCAGCCAGTCTGAGGGCAGCTGTACAGCAGCACAGAAGTATCTGCGGACATGTGGCTTGGTGGAGGGCTGACTGGCAGCCAGAGCCAATAAGAAGTTTGCTGTGATGCGGATGTTCAACTCCTGGCGAGTGTAAACTGCCACCTGAGTGTCAAAAGAAAGAACAAGTACACCACACATGACTGATGAAAACGATTAGAAGCCTTTACTGTCATAATGTGTACAGTCCTCTTTGATTGTTTTCACTGTGCAACAAAGACAGTCATGTTTCAGTAACTGATCTGAAAATAAATTCCACTGTCCTGTTTGTTTGGCAAAAAAGAAGCTAATGCAGCACAAGCTATGTTCAAGAAATATTTTAATAAAACGGATTAAAATATTTCTATTTTCTACTGATTCTAGAGATTTCCATCATAACTGGTGGTGGTGCAGTGGATAAGACACATGCCTTTGGTGTAAGAGACTCAGGTTCAATTCCCCACTGTGACACACCCACCAATTTGTCCCTGAGCAAGACACTTAACCCCTCGTTGCTCCAGAGGCGTGCGACCTCTGACATATATTGCAATTGTAAGTTGCTTTGAATAAAAGCGTCAGCTAAATGACTAAATGTGAACTGATACAATACATTTTTTTCTGGGTTGTTTTGCTTGATCATAACAACCTAATGAAGTCCCAGTAGAGTTGAAACATCATCACTTTAGTTAAAATAGCAGTTGTAGAGCTACAATCCAGTTTACAAATAAAAATGCCTTCAGATACATAGCCCTACAGACAGCCACCATGCATACGCACCTTGAGAAGAAACTGTGGGTCACAGACAGAGATGTCCTTCGCCAGATTTGTGATCCTGGTCCAAACACTGTCCTCTGAGTCCCAGTCTTTCTGGCCTGGTGCTTTGCACTTCTTGACCAGGGAGCAACACACCTCGTTCAGCAGGAGATACTAAGGAAAACACAGAAAGATAATTAAGTATGTGTTCACAACTCAGATGAATCACTATAATCAACACATAAAATTAAGTGCACAGGAAAATTATTTGGTAGCACTGGCGCAGAAAAGATTTTTTCTACATACATATTTTCTCCTACCTTTTTATCATTCAGCTCCTCTTCAACAATTTCATTTCCTCTATCAAACTCAGCAAATTCCTCCTGCCTGTTGACCAGAGCTTGTTCGAAATCCTCGCTGCCCAATTCTGTTTCCAGGAAAGGTAATATCATGGCTGTCCCAGCGTCATCATCCTCCACCTCCATCTCCTCTTCGGGCAAAACGTCATCTTCCTCAGAATGTGTCTGATGCAGGAGAAGTAGCATTAAAACAGTAATACTGCCCAAAAGGGACGCATCAACAACAGTGTTTTAGCAACAAAGGTAATTTTATTTGGTCAAAAAAGTAAAACAAATTTCATTTACCACACTTGTTTCTTCAAAAGAGGACTGCATCACTTCAATTGTTTCCTCTCTGCCTTCGTCTCCTCCAACATCCCTCTTCTGTTCACCACCCAGAGCATGTTGGAGGACTGAAGGGGGATGAGCAAAATGACTGAGCAGAGCACTGCTGGCCAGGGATGTGCAAAGCAGAGAGTCGTTGGGTACAGATGTAGAGGAAGTCAGGGAAAAAGAGAGATGAGGTGAATGGCTATTTAGGAGCTTGTTCTCGGTGCTGAGGAGAGGAGAGGTGAGGGCAGGTGAGAAGGAAGAGGTAGAGAGAAAGGACGAGGAGGTGGAAGACAGGCTGGAGGGCTGGAGAGAGGGGCAAGCTGCAGAGTTTAAGATTGGAGGGCAAGGCTGGGGCATCAGTGTGGAGGTCTGAGCTAAGAGCTTATTCTCCAGAGGAGCATAGTTGGAAGACAAACTCCTTCCACATCTAGCATGGTGCGGCTCTCCTTGGGCCACATTTGCCTGATGCAAAGTCAGTGCCCTCATCTCTGTAAAGAAACACATCAATCAGAGGGTCAAAGGCTGTCAAAACGTTGAGTTCCTGCTCTCACAAACTACATAGTAATTCAGCAGCATTCCTTCAACTGTTTGAACAAGCGTTGTACTATGATCTTTAAGGGTGTGTTTATTGAAAGCCTTCATAAAAGGAGAACAAAGTCTAGAAACAGTCAGCATACAGCCCCAACTGACTTTTCACAGTTTCATATAAACCAGAAGCATAGATAACATGCAAAACATTAGTAAAATACAATGAATGAATCCCTCCACATAGCTTGCTGCTCACCAGAAACACAGACAGAAAATGTTTTAATAAATACAAAGGAGTTTCAAGTTTTAAGAGCCTAACGTTATGTACTACAAGCCATGTCTTCAAATTAGCAGCGTTATCTTACATGTATTCAAACAAATGTTTAACATCCACAGCCAGTGGATTTAATTTCCACAAACGAAGACTTCTACATCCAACACCAGGCAATATATTTACTAGTAGCCTTGTTACTTTCTCGCAATGACTAATGCGTTTGTGTAGGTGTGGTGGTTAGCTATAAACACCCAGATCAGAAGCTAAAAACTCACCACAAACACCAGAGTTTACCCTCCACGGGCCGAGCACTGACTCTGAACAAACGTGTCCTCTGGTGTATCTGATGTTAACGTTTGCTATAGTTCAGTGTTAGTGTGTATTTCGGACGCCTAGGGACAGTGTAGATGTTGATTTCCTCATGCGAGAAGCAGCTTCTTGGCTAGAGAGCGCTGACTGGTCAGTGTTATTTTGCACTCTTTTTTTTTTTACCGTAATACCACATATATGCACTGCCACCATCGAATGATCGAATGTGAAAGCTGGATCAGGCAATTTATTTCACAAGCATTTGTTGAAATTCTCTTTACAAACCAACAGCAAGTAATAAATATCTGCGACAAAAGACAACCATCTGTCTACCTGCGCACTCACTGCGTGTGAAAATGTGTTTTGAGGGAAGTGGCTTTGGAGGGATCCTTGTCAAAATGTAGCAGTCCCTTGCTAGTTTCTCAAACGTTAAGTACCCTTGCTCTAAGTCGAATGAAGGCAGAATTGCTTAAGAAGAAAACAAAAATAATAATTCCTAAAAAACACAACAATTGCTAAATAAACGTGTCAAACTGCTTCATGTTTAGATATATTATTATTTAATGTAATATATATATATTAGCAGCAGTTTAAACATATATATTTCAAACTGGCATAGTGACGTTACCGTAACTATCTGTGCGCGGCGCAAAGGAGGAAGCTAAAACGGTCTATTTCCGCTGCAGCAGCGAGAACGGGCACGTCAAAGAGAAAGGAAAAATGTGGACAGTAAGGACACATTGAAGCCCGAGAAGTAACGTCGAGCTACGGATATCTTCTTCGTTTGTCTCGGTTGCCAGGCATTTGTAATTATTTAAAGCTCCCAGGCGAACATTTGACAGTTTAAGGGTCGTTTCGAGGTTAACTCGCCTCCCTTGTTCGGTGGTGGTTCGCTTGGAGGAAGCAGCTCGGCTAGCCAGCTGAACTAGCTAGCTTGCTAGAGATGGGGACGAGAGCAAGTCGTCTACAGGAAGACCCGGTGCCCTCTGCTTTCGGAAAAGATGGCACAAAGCGGGATTCCTATCGGCGAGCCCGCTGTACCAGGCCCACCAGTCTCATGGTCGATTTCTCCGGGAGCTTCGAGGACACGGAGGCCAACCGGAGCCGATCGGAGGAGTGCAGCGACTCGGACCTGGGGCAGCACGGGGCGAGTGCCGACGGGAGCCCCGCTGACCACCACAGCATCCCCTCCAGCATTAGCCAAGCGTCACCTGCAGACGACAACAACAGCGAAGGGAAACCCGAGGAAGACGGGAATATTAGCCCGGAGCCTCCTGTCGTAGCGGAACATCAGCACGGAGAGGAGACAGGCCGCACGCCCCACCGCACTTTTTCCGAGCGGCTGCCCGGGAATCGGCACTCTTCCGCCCGCAGCGTCGGCGCAAGGTCCGCCCGAGTTCGAGGCACACACCAGCGGCCGGTGTCAGAGGCTTGGATCGGCCTTTATCGTGTTAACAACCGCCATGGCAGTAAGTTAACATTTACACAGTGCAGTAGTATTTGTGCTTTTTAAATTATTATTATTTGTTATTATTTATTTGTATAAGTTAAGACTTGCCATAATCATTGGCTGGTCTCCATCAGTAGTTTGTGGTTGGCCTGGTTTTTAGATGTGAAGACAGAAGTTACATGGAATTCATGTGCAATATCATCAAAAATTAAATGAATCAATACCTCAACATAAAATGATTTACGAAATGTGGGGTATAGCTGTTAATGGTTACATTAAACAGCTGATATTTAACTGAAGACAGGAGTGACATGATAGTATATGAATATGATGGCCAAGTAAAAATAAAAAAAGAAGAAGGTAGGGGTATTCATTGTCAACTTTACTCAGCCATAATCTTAAAAATAGTCATAAAAAATTCAACTTCACTCCAGAACAACCTTTAAAGCCAAACAAAGATATCTACAATTGTTTCAATATTGCACAAACTACTACTAATACATTTACAGGCTCACATCACACTAATAATTCTAAATCAAATTATCTCCCTGTGCAACCCCTAATCTACCCAGTGTGAAATTAAAATGGATTATTTTGGGAATTTACATTCCTGAACAGATAATCTCTTTTCCCGTGCCTGCGTGGTGACTAAAAAGTATCAGAGACCCTATTGTATGAAGCACAGTCATGGCGTAAAACTGGAAGTGGTGACATACAAGTTCTTTCATGTCACAAGACCTGTTGACAGTGGTTGTCGGTGTTTAAATCCTGCAGCGTGCAAGTTGAAAACAATAAGTAACCAAACATCTTTTCCTTAAAGTGTATTAAAAACAGGAACATGAGTTTGCAAAGGAAGTGAAAATGCACACTTGGTCTGCATTAGACAATCAAATGGCAGACGTTGCGGTGGTGTGACACCAAACATGACACGATGAGCCAAAACACAACAGTGTGGTGGGTTTCCCGGGCCAGCCCTCCAGCGAGTGTAGAGAAATGGGTCACAACTTCACATGCCCGCTCACTGCTGGCAGCAGCTCATAGATGGAGGAGAATGTAGGGCAGCAAGGCACTGTTCCTGCCCATCTGTCCCATCCACTCACAGCTCTAGCCATTGTTTTGCATGGTGCATGCAGTAAAATAACATTTCAAACCACACTCAAGTTAACATCATATACGCTATCTCTGGGTTGAGAATACAACCTTTACACTGACTGTGTTTCTGCTCTTTGGTTTGCCAAGTCAGCCTGTGTAATCTAGATACCCAAACACAGCACTTGTGCATCTATCGTTCACGTCTCGCTGTGACACAGTGTGTTAATCTCAGCTCCACTCTGTGCAGATATCCGCTGTCCTTTCTGCTCTAAGCCTTTCCCGGGGGGTCGGATCGAGGATCACCTGTTGAGCTGCCTCACATCTCCTCCCCTACCTTACAATAGTAAGTATCATATCACAGGAATGGACCAGACAGCTGTTTTAAAAAAAAGAAAGACAAAAAAAAAGGCTGGAAGCACTTATGGTTGCTTTGTGTTTGTGTGTGTGTGTACAGCGGATGTGCTCAGTAAAGACAGCGGAGAGTGCTCCATCTGTTTGGAGGATCTGGTACAGGGAGAGACCATCGCTAGACTGGCTTGCCTCTGCGTCTACCATAAGAGGTAACAAATTTCATTTGATGTATTTGCATTGTAATAAAATGCAACTAAAAAGAGGAGGGTAATATGGGTGGGGGAAAAAATCGATACAGCATAGTATCGTGATATTTGCCATGGCAATACTGTATCGAAACATGGACCCCAAGTATCAATATTTTATTATATAAACTGCAGATGGAACTAGAAAAATGAAATCTATTTCTTTTTTCAGTCTACTAGAAAACGTAACAGGACGATATTGAGGACTGAAAAAGTGATATGAACAAACAGAAAAATGATAAACAGATGTTGACAAAGTTTGACTTTAGGGACCTAATTGGAAGTTGGAAAAAGGTAATAAATAGCAATATATCTCAATATATTTAAAATCGAATCACAACATAAATATCATGATAATATCGTATCGTGCGGCCTCTGGTGATTCCCACCCCTAGAGGGTAACAAAATCAGGCATTGTGCATATGGTAGGAAAATGTTTGACTATTTCCAGATCTGAAACAATTTATCTAGGCTAAGGACGCTAAAGGTTGTTCTGTCCTAGTGCACATAATCACTACACATTTCTGATAATTGGAGACCCATTGTCCTTTCCCATGATATAATGTTCTTATAAGTGATCTTTAAAACCACTGCTGATTAAGAATCATAATTTGAACATGAGATAAAATGGATAGAGCGAAAATCTGCTCACTTTATGTAGCAGAAGAAAAGATCAACAGTTTGTGTGTTTCTGTCCTGTAGCAAGCAAGTGAACATTTGCCAATAGTTTTCACAACTGAAAGTAACTACCCCATCACAACATTTTAATAATACTGAGTCACAGACATCCGGTGTTCTGCTAGCAAATAGTTTGAAAAGCTTTGAAGTTGTTAAAGGACCACCAGTGTTTATGCATGTTTCAGCCCATTTACTACAAATTTTACTTTTCAAAGAACTCTGTAATAAACCTTTAATGTTACACAACTTCTAAAGAACCTTTGGTTCCCCATAGTTACAGCACACTTTGAGACTGGACTTGCCGAGACTTGAAATATACCAAGATTAGGTAATCATCATAGTGAAGATCCTGCCTGCTATTTCTGTTTGTTGTCTTCATTGCATGTTCAAACAGCTGTAAGTGCTCATTGATTTGAAAATCCACGCCACATTTTCACACAACACTTGAAAATAATTATAGACTACATGTTCACACCCTTTACACAAGGAAAGTTGTTTTTAACACTACATTCATTTATTAGTTTAGGGCTGCAACAATTATTTCCATTATTTTATTATATCTATAAGTTTTAAAAGGGCATCACAATTTCTGCTCAACATCATATCTTGAAATTACTCTTTTTGTCCGACCAACAGTCCAAAACCCAAACATTCTCAATTAATTAATAATGCAGCAAATCATCACAGATGAGAAGCTGCAACTTGCGTGGCATCTTTGCTTGAAAAATTACTTAAACAGTGAATGGCATATCTAAATAGTTGCTGATTATTTTGTCTGTTGATTGACTACTTGAATGTAGACTACTGGTTTGTATCTGTATTAGTGAGAGGGAAATAAAAAATGCTTCTAAGGACCAGCCCACCACATGTCTCACATCTTCTCTCTGGTCCTGTGGCATTTAACGAGCTAGAGAGCCCTTAAAATGATTCATAACCTGCTGCAGTGATTACATTTAGTTTGGTTTCACGCTGTCAGTAAGAGGAGCCTTTTAGGGGGGTCCACATTCAGAAACCACTATAGAGGTTCTGTCCTGTTAAGATGAGTAAATCATAATGTTATGTGTTTGTGTCCCACCCCCATCTCTGTCCTTTCTCCCTGCAGCTGCATTGATTCATGGTCCAAGGTGAAACCCTGCTGCCCCGAACATCCCTTCGATTGACTCATGGGTCACATGTATTCTGCACAGTGACCAACCTGACTCAGGTATGTACATGTAAGATGTTGAACATCAGGCACAACCATGTTAAGACCCAAAATACGAAAGGATCTTTGAAATAATAAACCACAAGCTACCAAGGTGTCACTGGAGTAGATTATGGCCAAAACTACCAAACACAGAGGAAGAATTTAAGCTATAAGGATAATTCAAACATTCATTAAAACTCTAAAGAACCCTTGAAGTTGCCCTCATTTGCAATGATGTCTGGATACGAGTTAAAAACATGAGAATAAAGAGCATAATTTCTATAAATGACATTCCCAAATTCAAAACTGATAAGAAAACTGCCTCAACAAGGTTTTTTAAACTAGTAATAGGGAAAATGGTTCTGTAAAGAAAAGAAGCCACGTTTTTGACACGGTGTGATTGTCTATATGGTACTTAAATGTACATTTCTCGTTAAGCCAGATACCCAGATATTTTTATTCAGTAACTATCCCTAAGTTAAACTGACCAACAAATCAAAGATATTCAGTAAACTATCCTGTATGACAAAGACAATCATCAAATCCTCACTATAGAGAAGCTGGAAGCTGTGAATGGTTGATATTTTTGCTTACAAAATTACTTTAGTTGATTAATCAATTATTCGATTATCATTTTGAATTGTAGTGTAAAGATAATACAAATCATCCATTACCTCTTTCTGCATCTGTTGAAGTAGATTAGGCCATTAAATGTAATTAACAGGTAACAAAATTATTATTAAAGTGTTTTGTTTGATGAAATGCATAACACAAACAGATATTATATTTTTTGTTATTTTGGCATAGATTTGCCGTAACACATGATAATTATACTTAAAATATTATGAATGTGAATGATGTCAGTCATAATGTCCAGCCCTGCTGTCATTACAGTATGCAGTACTTTCTCTGACAGCCACTCTTTCTTTTTCCATCCCTACAGGAGACTACACTGAATCCTAATAAAATCCCAATAAAATCTGTAATTGAAAAAAATAAAAGCCCACTTTCCCTCTCAAACCTATATTTGAGCGGAGAACAGATGATCCTAAGAGGAGGCTCCAGTTAGCGACACCTGACGCTCTCCGTTTGGATCAGTCCATTTAAACTTGGTGTGGGCCATTTCACAGTAAAAACAGCCGCTCAGTCTAATCTCTGGTCAAGACCCTTGTTGGAACAGAAGTGGTCTGGGCTTGAATCTGCGAAACAAAAAGCAAAAAAAAAAGAAAATATGTCAAATAAACGTTATCATCCCAGAACAATGGAACTTGCCACAGAAAGATCTTGAACTTGGGGAGTAACCTGAAAAAAGTTGTCTGAACGGTGACTCTGGATCCTCTCCTCTGTAATTTTTCTCACTCCAAATGGGTCATTTTTATCAAGTATTTTGCAGAAAGAGTATTGTTCTATGTCCTACATCGGATGAATGTTTTCTTTCCTCGGCTAACCCCAAATGAACCAACCTCACACTGAAAGCTTGAACTGTTTCCACATAAACAATGCTTTACTTTGAACTAGCTGGAGGTTGAGGGCTTGTTTTTGGGGAATGGGGGGCTGCCGTTACTAGGTGTTTCTTTTTTCTATTACCTATAAACATTTCAGGGGAAGTTTGGGGGCTAATTGTTTTTCTGAGTAGGTCAGTGTTCTTGTAGGTGGTTAGTTAGCTCTGAGTTTAATGTGCTGCTACTTGCTGAGTGTTTAGGAGGGTTGTAGGTATTTCATAGGGCCATAGTAGCGCTGGTGTTTGCACCAATTTGAGCACTTTTGTCCTTTTAAGGCTTACTTTTTTTCAGACAGGCCACTGTTTTTGCAGTGAGAGGCGTCTTTTTTTCAGTTGTTTTCAATAGGCAGTCAGCGTTTTGCGCGCTGCTGTGGGCCTATGCGTCACGTGTTTTTGTAGGAGCGCTCTGAACGCCTTGAAAACACGCAATGTCATTTCATATTGTCCAATCGGATCAGATTTGTGAGTTTACTTCAGAGCAACGTCACGGTTAGGCTAAGGACAGGTGATTTGGTGTTTGCCTAGTAACAACAACAACAAAAAAAACTCAGCAAGCTTTTTTTTTAAATTGTAGGCTTCAACAAGAAAGGCAGTGCGGGCAACCTGCATTCAGTTCTCTGCCTGATCGGGCCTACGTTTTTGAGTTTGAGATTAGGTTGTGTGGGCCCACTGTGTGTGTGTGTGTGTGTGTGTGTGTGTGTGTTTAAATGATGACCAGGGATAGAAAATGTCCGAAGCATAATGTGTGGCTTTGTGTGTGTGTTTACTGTAATTGCCCAGAAGTCTGCTTGGTTAAGCGGGTTACCCTTTCCATTTTTTAAAACTATGGTAGGCAATTTATTTCAGAAGCATTTTTCAAAATATCTGTTGAAATTCTCTTTACATCCCGACAGCAATCAATAAATCTAATGCTCTGACACAAAAATGAAAAAAAAAGGTGCCTGTTGCAGGACTGTAATAAGCACAGCCAACCTGCATGCACTCTTGCTAGTATCCCCAACTTTGCCTATCCCAGCTTTGAAGGGGACTTATTATGCTTTCCCTTATATAATTATATTTATTATTATTATATAATTATAAATATTACAGTGACAGATGTTCATATTAAACAAGGCCAAAGTTTCACATAATTAGGTAAACGCTTATGATCTCCTCCAGTCACAGAATGCCCACAAAGCCCATCCACTCACTCAGTCTAAGTTACTCGACCACTCTGCTCAAGATTAATCTCAAGGGTTTTGGTGGTTGTTTAGTACGTCTTGCATTTTGGTTGTGAAGTAAATGTAGTTTCTCGATGGACAGGTGGCTTTACTCGTCGCTAAAGTAACTGCTAACTGTAGGTGCCATTAGTTAGCCATGGTCCTTTCTGCGGTCCAAAGCTCCTGTGCTCAAGCCAAGGCAGAGTCTGCTAAGCTGATAGGGACGCTTGCTGCACGGCTAACTAGCTAACGACAGCTAGAGTTAGTGGTTACTTTAAATCTGTCTGTCCATCAGGAAAATCCGTGAATCACAGAGAGTTGAGCAGAGCAGCCGTAGTCATCAGGAAGTTGGCCAGTCAGAAGAAAGTGGGCTTTTAGGGAGGGAGGCCGGAAAGTGACCGACACGAAAATGGCATGTTTCAGTCAGAGGATAAACGGAGGGGCTGCTTAAACGGCCAGTAAGATAAAAATTTGAACTATGAACCTTGCAAAGCTACTCGGCCGGAATCCCAAAATAAAAATATAGAGATGCAAAGGAGCATAATAGGACCCCTTTAATGCTAGTTTTTAAGTCCTGTTACATGTGGCATTGGTACGCAAGCGCATGGCGGCTCATGTGGTCGTGTTGTACTTTGAATGCGGTTTGGGTTTTTGTTCCACTACCCCCCTCCTTCCTCCTCATTCATTCACTCTCTGGGGTGTGGCCTGGGTTTCTTGGACCACACCCCAAGCAACAGTTTTTGCCATCTGTTTACTGCCAAAATCGAGGAGGACGGATGGATTGAGGAATGTATTTTGGGGGCATGTTGACACCATGTGGCATCTCCCTCTCTTTCCAGCACTGGAGGCTATGGACAGCTGATGGCTAATTATTACATAACTAGGCCCCCCCCCCACCATTCCTTTTTTAGGAGTTTATATATTATATCATCACATTATCATGATCATGATTATTGCTTTCCTTTGCCTTATGTGTGTGTTGATTACCTTTGCCTGGTGAAGGGGCTCTTTTGCAAGCAGGTATTTGTAGTGTAGTTGTGGTTTTAGGGCTGAGCTCAGAGGTGGAAGCCCAACAGTGAGGCTGCTCAACAGATAATGTCTGATACAGGTTGTACACAGGCCAGGGGAAAAGTGGGGAACGACAAAAACATGAATTGATTGCTTTTGCTGCCTTCTCAAACGGCGAGTCTGTTCAATGTGTTTTAATCTCTGCGCTAACAAGCGGTATGGATCAGTTTAGAGGTCAGCCTGGTGCACAGGTTTCCTAGTGGTTTGTTCACCCTAGCCACGTTTGTTGTTTTTTTTGTTTTGTTTTTTCTGGTCACTGGTATTTTGCAGTCTGAGGTGCTATGACTTGTCCCGCCACTAGAGGGCAGCCCTGTGCATGTTTCTCTATTTTTTTTTTGTATTGGAGAATAGAAAAATAATGCCAAAAGTCTGTCATTGTGTGAGAGAGGTGCTTTTTATAATTAGATGTTACATTTGTTGTAGTGATAAGTTATGATGTTGTATACTTTGGCTGGGAAGGGTGTGTGTGTTTGGGGGGGTGGTGGTGGTGGTTGGGTTGTTGATAATAGACGATCTAAAAACCCCACATTACTCTCATTTACTTTCTTACCCCCTCTAATCTGTGTGGTGCAATACCTCAGTTTTTACCAATGCTAAATGCTCTGTGTGTAAACTAGCTCCTCTCCAATCAAGGATGGTATTTTCTATAAATGTCCCTAAATCCTTGGTTTTGAATCGCAGGGCACTGATCCCCTGTTTGCCCTGTGCTTTGAGGTCGATGTATTAGATGAGAATGAAGAGTCACCACAGCAGTATCTGCATTCCCAAGATATGGACAATCTGCCTTTACTCTCTGGTATAAAAACAAATTGAATTTTATTTATTAAATTGTAAATATGTAATGAAATTCAAGAAAATGGCTTGGTCTTTGTCTGTTCAATATGCTGTTTCTAAGCTCCAATCTTTTGTATGTCTCAGAAATTGTTTTTATATGTATTTTTTACAATAAATATGTGTGAGAGACGTTTTGTGAATGTCTGTTTTGTGTCCTTTTTTAAGTGTCAGTGATGCATTTGTGGTTGTTTGTGCCGTTCAGTGAGACCTGAAACACGATTCACTCTTCAGAAGAGTTTTATTATAAAGAGATCATTTTAAATTAAACATTACTAAATAATGTAAAAAATCTTTTAAACTAACTAACTTTCAAATGACGCTGTAAAGAGACAGTTACATTTTACAAACGTGAGCAAAGACAAAATAAATTATAGTTACATTTTAAAAAACCTTAGTAAATGTATGTATTTCACCCACGCAGTGGCTGTTCTGGAGATTCGTTGGTACCACATGATCTTCAGCTGTGTTCCCTGCGGTTTCAAATGTAAAAATAAAAGTTCACTTTAAACATTTTAAACCAACATGGACAAAATTTTAAAAAAATTAATTTTGAACATCTATTTCGTGACAAAAGAGAAAACTCCACATGGTGACTAACATCGTGTGACACCATTAAAAGCTCCAGTACACCTACTGAGAGCTACCGAGATTTTGTTTTTCTTGTCAACTGATGGTTCCAAATTCAAGAATAACATTTTAATAAAATTAGTAGGGAGCCATACTCTTAAATGACTGATCTGATTGAAATACACTGTGTAGTGTTGGCACAAACAATACACACACACAGCCTGATCCTGTAATCAGACTGAATTCACATTCCCACTTTCAGTTTGAATTTCTGAAAAACATCTGAGACGAGGTCAATGATTCAGAGGTCTGGAAACAGGTTACACATCTATTATTACAATGACAATCTGCCTGGCAGGTGACAGCAGTGGGGTCCCTAAACATTCAGCTCAAGTATTCCTAGACACAAATTAGATTATAATGTGTCCTAAATTGTCCCATGTGATTTTTTTGTACTGAGCTGGCAAAAAGTGACACACTGACACAGTGTGAAAAGCACAATTTATATGTATGTATGCAAGTATACTTTCAAGTCTGGACAGCCAGATTTAGGTGTGGACCCTGTTGAACTGACATGGGGACCCCTGGAAGTCCCCACACCCCACTTTGATGGCCTCTTACTTGCAACGGTGGAGTTTCCCATTTCTGCATTCAGTCCTTGCAAACAGGGATTTTTTTTTCTTCACTTCATGCTTTCAGGAAGGGAAATTACACCACAGGTTGATCAAATAAAGAACCCCTTCCACACAAGAAGTGCTTTGTTAGATCTCCTCCTGTGTGGTGTTGGACTATAATTGTTCTCAGAAAACAACTACAATCCTGCAGAAAAGGTAAGCAGAACACTAACTTTGCACTCTTACTTTACTTCTGTTTACTCTGCTTTGCTTGCTTGTCAAAAATACCAGTAAATAGCACAAGACAACAAACATTTTCTGTGTAGTTATCATATAAAAGGTATTTTTACGCAAATCACAAAAAATATATATTTTGTAATTTATCTATTATAATATCTTTATGGAGATACTGTTCGGTTTTATTTGCTGAGGTTTGAGGTGATAGACACCTCAAAACACCTGCCAAAAAAACCCCAAACACTTACATATATCAGATATCTTGTGTGATTTAAGTGAAGGGATTCCTTCGTCTAACTGAAGCAGGAAATATAACTGCAACAACGGATCTGTTAAGCTAATTTTATTCATATTCATTTGACTTAATTCATCAGGGGAAGAAAAAAATGTGTCTCTGTTCACTGTGGAACCCTACTGCCTTCAACACATAGTTCAATGTTTAATGCTCCAAAAACACTTACCAGTTCATCCAAATATATGTAGGTAAAACTAGGTAAGTCTACACAACATCGCTGACATCTCTGCCACACAAAAAAATTTAAATATAAATATACTGTCAAATCTCTTCCTGTAAAAAAACCCTCAAAATGTCAGAGGTGCTATTTATTTGCTACCATATCTGCATGAACCTCTCTTGTTTAAAGGTTTAGTAAAGTGTGGTTTCACATTATTTCTACTACTACTTTTGTAGAAAACATTTGACGTCACAGTTAAATGTAAGAAATAAAATGAATGAAGGCTGACTTCTGTTTAGCTGCTTCAGTTTTCAGGGCAGTATTCATGCTGTCACACTGTCGTGACTTACAGGGACACTTTCATTAGAAACACCTGTCACAAGTCAAAAGGCTCATTGTCTGGTAACTATAACTTTCTGCAGTGTTTTCAACCTTGGATAAAATCTATGGATTTTTATAGGGTATCGTGAATCTTGGAAAACTCATGAATCCAAGAACTCATTTCTTTTTTGAAACTAATTGACACGACGCCACACTGATGAGGAGGGCTCAAGTTTTACTTCCTAAAGGTTACACCATTCTTGGGCAACAACTTAGCAACAGGTTGGTTGTGTTTAAAAAATCCTGATCTGATGAAACCAACTCTGTACATGCTGAAAGGCAGGTATTGAAAAATTACCAGTGTTTCACCAAATAAAACCGCAACAGACAGGCATTTCTGCTGTTTTTTTCTCCCCCCCACATTCTTTTCTCATCAATGACTGACCACTGATGACTGAAGAGATCTACAACATGGACTAGTTTCACCTGCACTCAGGCTTACACCACGTTGACAATATCAACTTTTGCACAAGCTGCATCTCTTTATTTGACTGAACTTTGTTTTTGGCCCTCCAGAATGTCAGACTCAGTGGACCACATCAAATCTGAAGAGACACAGGACGCTCCTGGTAATGATGTGTCCGCACCACCGCCGTCATACCAAGAGCAGCAACCTCCACCTTACTCTGGAGCCCCAGCAGAGTACCCTCCACCCAAAGTCGACACAACCCCTGTCTATCAGCCTACCACTACCTATGAGTCTTTCCGCGACATAAGCCCGGAGGCCCCATCAGACACACCTATAGCATCATCTTCTTTTGATGACAAGACAGTGAGAAGAGGGTTTGTTAGAAAGGTTTGTACAACTCTTGAGCTTTTGGCAGTTGACTTCAGGAATATCTGTATTTATTGGGACTGATGACAAGTAATCTTTGTGAAATATGTTTGATTTAAGGTGTAAACAGTATTTGGTGTGTTCATATTTTGCCATGGGCGTATTATCCTTCAACAGAATTTCCCAACCCGGTGTCAGGGCCCTCTTAAAGAGTCGTAAGAGAAATTTCAGGGATCACACGTTTACCTCCTCAGGCCTCTAAAAATGATTAAAATAAATGAGTCTGAGAAGGAACAATCTCTCGTGGGCATATACAACTTGTGAAAAGAAGTCGAAAATAGACATTGCTTTGTTTTCGGGGGTCAGGACTAAGAAATGAAAAGCATAAACTCACCTTGATTTAAAAACCATCAATTGATCAAGCAGGTGGAGGTTCAGTGTCTTGTTTTATCGTAACAGAATGCATCATGGCTGTTTGAAAGACAACAATGAGACTGTACATGCCAAGTGTCTCGCAATGGTAACACAATTAATTAATTAATTAATTAATATATATATATATATATATATGATTTTTTTTCTCTATTAAGTAATTATTTAAATCTTTTCCAAATTAACTGAGTTAACTCAGTAATCTTTCCATGTGCCAATCTGAATGCTTGGACAAGATAAATCACAACAGTCAAAGATCATGAGTGTCAACATCAAAACTGTTTTTCTCGAAAACATTTATATACACCTATAAGATAGTATAAGTTGGTTGTCCAGTGTGGCCACATGCTTTTATTGTGCAGAATGGAGTGATCCCTTTTTTTTATAAATTATAATAATAATGTTTCCCTGTGCAGGTGTTCAGCATCCTGACTCTCCAGCTGCTGTTCACCTTCAGTGTGGTGTGTGTGTTCACCTTCTCCAGCGTGGTCAAAGAGGCGGTGCAGGACAACCTGTGGGCCTACATCAGCTCCTTCATCATCTTCGCCGTTGTCGCCATCGCCCTCACCTGCTGCCAGTCCTTCAGTCGGCGTCACCCCTGGAACATTGTGGGACTGGTGGGTTACATATATATATAGGAGCATAAAATCCCAAATAACAAATGGGGATATTAATTTTGCACAATTTAGATACTGTCAGAGGTGCTTATAATAAAAATATACAGCTAAACATTTCAATAATAGACCAAAAGGACATTTAACCCTGACAATATGATAAAAGAATCATAGCTTTGTAGGAAAGGAAATATATATTGGATATGAAGCACTGAGGTCACACAGTCACATCCCGGACAGAAAAGTGTAATATTTAAATGGGCTCTGAGAAACTGGTACATTACCAGTAAGTCTGTTTTCACCGACTACCAAATGAAAGTTGAGTTCACATGCTCACAGATTCACTGTGAGCTGTTGAGGTTTTGTTGGTCTGTTAAATTAGGACAGGCTCTTCCTGTGTTGTGATCGTTAAATACACACACTAAATACTCGCCCACCAGGGTTTCTGGTAAAAAAAAAATGTCTACACTTAACTTCTTTTTTTTTCAACAAGATCTATAAAGGACTGTAGCTATCTGAAGACATAACAAGAGATTCTCTGAAGTAGTTAAACTATCAAACAAGCAAACTATGGGGGGAAAAAGCTGTCTCAGGTGATATTGGAAATGTTTAATACAGTGAATTTTGTGCCCACAGGTCGTGATCACCCTGAGCTTGTCATACGTGGTGGGAACCATTGCCTCCTTCCACAACACCACTGCTGTGGTCATCACTATGGGATCAACGCTGGCCATTTCTGTCGCAATCATTGCATACTCTGCACAGGTGAGACACCAAAATGGTATCAGAGGAGGCAGAATGTGAATGTAGACCTGAAACGATTGGTCAATTAATTGATAGGTTGCTTAACAGAAATTTAATCAGCAATTATTTTGAACAGATTGATCTTTTACTATTGAAATATTTCATACATTATAAGGACTATAACAATTATCGAAGAAAATATATAAGATTAATTGGATATTTATATGATCTGTAGCTATCTAAATGTGTTCTCTATTACAGCTGTTCTTACTCAGCTGAATCCATTGTACAAGCAAAAGATATTTTTTGGACTAAA